TTGGCAGTTTAATTTGATGAAAATATTAATTTTATGAAATTACCAGGAGAATTACATAAAAGTTTATTTGAAATTTTAATTGATATACAAACATGAAACTTTCCTACATAGTATAAATAATAAATATAATTAATAGAATAAGTTTATTAAAGAAGCATCGCGAATTAAAATATTTATCCTTTATTTGTTCTTAAAAGAAATTTCTTATGTTATTTATAATTAAAAATATATAATTGATGCATGATTATTAACATCGAGATTAACACAGAATCTATTGCGTCAAAAAGTTGCAACTATATACATATACCATTCAGAATTTATGAATTATTTTTTAATTATGTATTCAAAGTTAAGGGTTTTTTTTAAATAACCGCAATATTAATCGAATGGCAAAGTTAATTAAAAATAGCGGATATTAAAAATAAAAATAATAGAATTTTTACTTTTGATATCCGGCCGCCGCTATATGGCACCGACATTTTGAATCTATCAACTGAATTTAACATCAGATTAATATTTAGCAACCTGAAAAACTCTTGAGTTTGAGTAACAAGAAAAATTTCATAGTTTCTTAATTATATAATGGTCTATGTAAGTCACAACTTTGATGCAATAGACTCTATGTTAATCATTAATATCTTTTTAACTACAATTGACATAACAAATTTCTAAGGGCTAAAAGTCCTAACAATTAACATACTTAATTTTGATTGCAATATAACTTCTCTAACACGTCACGCGGAGTTCTCGGCTTAGAGATCAGTGCTCTGATTCTATAACTATTAACAACAATTCGTTATCATTATATTGTCGTTGCGCAGCTTTTTTATCATATATTATATCTGCACAACGATAATATAACGATGATAACGAAACTGTAGTTATAAGAGTTACAGAAAATAGCCTTAACAACGCGACTTTTCGACTGTTAGCGACTTCGTCCAAAAATGACCCGCTTTATCTTAAGAACGTAGTTACTGCATTGGCCGCTACACGGTATGGCGCTGAAACCAGTGAGAAATGCTGGTCTCGTCTCAACCCGGACCTTTGGCTATCTGTCTATTAATCTGTGCTTAAGTCTATTTACACGGCTATCAACAGCAGCTATAAGCTACTCTCAGTTGGCAAAACATTCAGTGGTAAAAGCTGGCCATATTGTCCTCGGAATAGAGGCAGGAGCCAATTAAACCAAAGAAGAAGAAGAGGAAGCATGAGTCAAAGTACCACGATTACAAATCTAAAGAGGAGCCTCAGTTGGGTCGAAAGCGTTCTCTCGGTGTTTCAGTCATTATTAAATTGCTACATACATTATACATACATACATACATACGTACGTACGTACGTACATACATATGTTCATGTTCATACGTTGTACATATACGTACGTACATACATACATCATGTGTGTATGTATGTACATGTAAGTAAATAATTTTACTATTGTAGAAATAATAATAAAATATTTAATAAGTATTTTTTATATTTACTTACTGATATCAAGAAATCGACACATGAAAGCAATCTATCTTGAAGAATAAAAAAATCAATTTATTTCTTGCATAATTGTAAAGTTTGAAATTTTAAAACAGTATTTCTAAAATTTTTTTGAAATTAAGGCTCCTGGGTAGAGTCCTAGATAATAGAGAAGCGACATTGAAATCGATAGGTGCGATATATCGATAAAGCCGCCATTTTGTTTCTCCATATAAAATAGGAAAGTGCGTATAAGAAACTGTCGATTTTAGAAACGGTGAAAAACATGTATTTATATCTTTTTATCTTTTGAAAAGTTGTATCATATATCAAAAAGAGCGTTATTTAATTTTAGTTACGCAATTTTATCTTCTATGTATATAGATATGAAAGTTATTTACTTTGAAACATGTCGACAATATACAAGGAAAGTTGTTAAAGAGTCAGAATGCTTGTAAAACATTATATTAATACACAACACACCCGATTGCATATGAATATAGCTTCTTGTTGCCTTAATCAATGTAACATGTACATACAATCAAGAAAAACGAAAGATATATTAATTCATAAGATTATACTTGCAGATACATATAATAAAGTAAATGAAAACGTACTGTGTATTTTATTGTAAATTATTAATAGTTCTTTGAGGAATAGTGTAAAAAAATTTAAATATAACTTTACTACGTTTTTTATAGATACATATATCTACGAGACAATAATATTCGATTTATTTGACATCTATAAGAGAAAATTCATTTTAAATTAAATAAAATATGATTTATTTTATATTTGTACTTGGTTCAACTCTCAATTACAATTCAAATAATTGTGCTCTTCAGATTTCAAAATTTTCCTCCGCAGCTGGCAATATTACGATGTTGCAACCAAAGGTTTTGGATTTGCTTTCTTGCAGAGTAATATTTTAACTTTCCCTGATATTTGACCCTTTAAGTTTGCGCTAACAAGTAATGGCATTGAATATGTATGTTCATTAAATGGCTTCGATGGGAGACTATCGTTAAAAACTGAAGGAATTGCTCCGATTTTCAGTTTCCTCTTACCATCTTCTCTAACACGCTCCCAAGAAAACCTGTCAAAATGCTCCTGAAAAAATATGCTATCAGTAAATGACTTCGCTATATATGTATATATTTGCTACACTGCAGCTTACAGAGCACACAAACAATGGATCCTTAGGCTCCCAAGTAGATCCATTAATATTCCTGATACTGTTAATCCATCCAGCTTTCTGTCCTTCATTTCTAGGAAAACGATGAAACATAAGAGTTTACTCCACAGTACCGGATTGAGCTCCGGTTGCAGAGCGGTGAACACCGTCGTACGATGAATTCCAAAAGACAGGGTGCCGATCACCGCGCACACGATTAGATCGTTCTTCAGTCTGGCGTTCACTGTCGAGCGTAACTTCTCCGGCAAAGGATCCACCAGCTCAGTATCTGACATTTGCTCGCCCACCTTGATCTTTACGTCTTTCCTCCTGCCGGACGTCTTGCTCTTGGTCTCCTTGTAACTCGCGGCCACGTTATCAGGCTGCGACGACGACGTGTTTTCTATGATTTTGGCTTCCTTCTCTTCCGTGTACCTGTCTCCTGTCTCTGGTGGCCACAAATTTGTCTTGAGGATGTCCTATATCACGGTAGGATCCGAAAAATCACGGCCTTTCACAGAACCGTAACAGTAATGTCTCGCGTTGTCTCACGTGCAGCAGGCCTCTAACGTGCATTAACCTCACTTATTTAATCATAAGGGAGAAACAAAATGGCGCTGGATCACGTGATTTAGTTAGCCAATCAGACCATTCCCTTCAATGTCGCTTCTCTATTATCTAGGACTCTACTCCTGGGTAGTCACCGCAGCCATATTGAATTTCTTGCTATCGAGGCGAGAAATTACCCTATTTTATGTTACGGTATTTTCCGAAATAAAAAGACATTTCAATAAAAAATCACTATAGATCGTTTCAGCACACTTCTAAAATTGACCGGATACTATCCTTTTCCCTCGACAATAAACAAACAGCCATAAAACGAAGCCTAAACATACGAAAAAACAAACTGTTTTCGACTATCGAAAGGAGTGGAGAATGTTCCTTCCGCATATGTATTATATTTCTTGCAAATCTTACCATACGGTAAATTTTACGAGTTTCACGAATACGTTAAACGTTATAGCACAAGTACAGAGCGAATAATAAAGAAATTTAACGCAACGCAAAATAGGTTGTCAACATCCCAGCAAACGCAAAAGGATTAAAAGATATTGAAATTTTTTAATACTTTTGAATCCCTTTTTTGGCGGAATTAGATGAAATTAGATGGGATTCGAAATGAGATGGTCCAATCCCATGGAATCCAAAAAAGAAAAATTTCAATTCCATCCAATCCTATGGAATCCGTAAAGGTTATGAAATTGCATGGCATTAGATGGTTTAGAAAACGTCTCGCGCCTCCGTTGGGCGACCAAGCGCCGTTGTTCGTCGGTGAGCTTTTGTGTATGCCTAAGGACATTACACGCACTACTGCCGACGGGCAATTAGCCCGAAAATGAGATTTGTAAGATCTGTCAGGCACCGTAGGAGGTCCCTTTACATAGCGGTCGAGACGAAACTTTGAACTCGAGAAGATGCCCCGGCGATGCGACGCTTAGCGGCATCGACGCAAACTGCCGGTAATGCAGATACCGCGCGGGCGTGTACTATTGGTGGCGCGTACCGCCACAGAGTTCAACACGGACACTTTTTAATCCCTATCCTGGCATTCAATGGTATTCATTTTATTGTCAGAATAGACGGAATTCAATGGAATTCAATACGGAAATTTTTAATTCCTAGTTTGGCATTTAATGGTATTCATTTCGTTAATGGAATCAATGGTATTCAATGGAATTCATCACGAAACTTTCCAATCCCTAACCTGGCATTCAGTGGTATTCATTTCGTTAACGGAATCAATGGTATTCAATGGAATTCATCACGAAACTTTCCAATCCCTAACCTGGCATTCAGTGGTATAATATTTTTGTGTCGAAATTGGATGGGATTCAAAAAAGACAAATTCTTTCCAAAATAAGGAATTCCATGATATTGAAACTATTTCAATCCCTTTTTTGGACAGAATGGAATTCGGAAAGTCTTTAATTGAATTCCTGGCAATCCCGTTTTAATTCTTTTCAATCTTTTTTCGTTTGCTGGGATGTCACAAGACAGAATTCTCCATTGGAAAGAGTGAGAGGAGAGAGTTCTTATTTCTGCCGCGACGGTACGGCGCCACCGTCAACGCAGAGTTCCCAGCTTAGGGACCAGGAGCCTTAAATTAAAAACTAATAAAGTTACACGCCATTAAAAAATTAAGTGTACAATTAAAAAATAAAATACATAGCATATTTCTGGAACAAATATATGTAGGAAAGATTCAAGACAGCATTTGGCCCATTCTTTTTATTGTAGAGAGATCTCGAACTTTCTATTTTATTTACTATTTTATTGCTCTGAATACATATGTAAGCACTATATGTCATACTGTTTAAAAATTCAAATAAAAATTTATTTTTTGTATAAAAAAGATTAAGATTGCAGCTTATTTGGCTGCTTGCATTTTCAACGGATCAATTTTAAAAATTATAGAAATATTTAGGTATCACAATTAGATCACAAGTTAAAGATTTTATAAATAAATAAGCAAAAATGCTAAACAAAAATAAACGATTGACACAATAAAAGCCAGAACAGGTACTAAAATGGAACAATTGATTCAAAAGGAATATTTTGTAGGAATACAAGAATTAATTTATAGACCTGATCCCATACAGCACAAAAAGTTGAAACAACGTTGCTGAGACGTTGCAATGTTGAATGTTGAAGTATAAATATTTTTCTAACGTTGAATCTATATGTTGATTCTTCTACATTGATTTTTTATGTTGATACAACATTGAAATATAATATTGAACAAATTATTAATCTTTCCACGCTAGTTTACAACGACGCCACTAGGCGACGTATGACGGTAAGACCAACTCGTAAATAAATCTTAGTTGGAGACGAATATAAGCAGGCCCCCGGCGTAGCAAAATCGTAATATCCGCGAGTCTTTGGACCTGACGCTTCTTTTAAATCTAGAGGAATAATCCAATCTGAGCTCATAAAACTTCCAACAATTGTAAAAAAAACGTGTGCTGCTAACGTGGCCAATGTTAATCAATATTTAATAATTTAATTGTTGTTGCATCGTTTTTAATATTTGTGAATCAATATATCAGGTTTTTGAACACTATAAAGATGTGTTATAATACAAGTATAAGCAAGAAAAAAGCGTCAGAGTCAGAGGATTATCACTAGCCCGTTCAATCGTCGATCTTTTCTGAATGTTGAATTACAACATCTACAAGATATTGCAATTCAGCGAACATTAGACGTTTGCGCAATATCTTTTTAACGTTGAATCTATATTTCGCAACGTTGATGCAATATACAGACATCTATATATTATCTAGACTACTAATACAAGCTTTGCGAATAAAACCACAATAATAGCCCAGGAAAATTAGGATTCATCTGCGGAAAAATTCGCACTCAGCTCAATTTTTGCATAGACCTTTATTTCGTCGTTATAAACAATATGTAAAAAGTCACCATCGATGTGACCCCTGCTAAAAATTTTAGAGGGTCAAAAGAAAAAAAAAAGTTTTTCGCGAATATCTCTTTATTCATTAGTCCTACGGCAAAAATAGTTATCACAAAATTTGTAGCTTATAAAATTCTCTACAAAAAAACGTTTTATAAGTTTTTTTCGTAGGATCCAACGTTTTCGTGTCCTGCGGCTTACAAAGTTTCAACTTTCATACGTTTCAGAGATAATGCACTGTTTTCCACACCATCTCGAAGGTACAGTGCTAGGCGCGTTTTTTGTAATATGGTGTTGCCAGTTTTTTGGCTTTAATGGCCAGAACTATTTGTTTAACTTATCAGGAACTCTAAAACTATTGAAAAGGAAGCCAGAACTCTCAATAGCTTGTAAGTTTTCGCAAAATGAGACGCTAGCTTCACACACACCGAAATGACCTTTTAAAAATAATCTATAATCTTATATTTTATATATGATTATTATATTTATATATAATTATATATAGATAATTGGGATAAAGTTCCGACGGTCTACCTCCGATTTCGAAGAAACTTTGTAAAAAGCTTCATTTGGAGTTAAAATAAAAGCCCTTAAAGCGAATTTTGGTGACTCTTACACAAGAAAGCTATTTTTTAAGATAAAATAGTAAAAAGAATGGTAAGTTTGGTAATTATTTAGTTCAGGCAAGCAACTTCCTGCGACCTTGACCTGGACATATATTATAGAGAGCACTCTCCTGAGTAACCTTCCAAAGGTTTTAGCCGTCGTTCGTTATTTATTAAAAAGTTATTAACAATAAAGTTTAAGAAATATAACAGTTTGTGTCAGTTCTAAGGGATGTAATTTGCTGATATGTGTGTACACAACACCCATGTAGGCGGGGGAAGGGCTACCGTCCCTCTCCCTGCGGCAGTGGTTGGTGGGGGTGGACTTTGTGTGGAAAGTTGAAAGCCCGAACCGTACAATAATAGACCTCGTTTCGCCCTGTAAGCAGGGGTGGAGTGGGGTGAACCTCGCTTCATGTATTAAGGGGAGGTTACCGTTAAAAAAATCAAATTTTTTTTTGCTTAATTTTTTACTACGTAAAACTTTAAACGCGTTTTTCTCGAAACAACATTTTTCGGCGCGCGGGGCGCTCTACAGCTTCAACGGATGAACCGATTTTAATAAATGACGGTGCAAAAGAAAGAAAATTTAATTTAGGGGGCCTTCAGAAAGCGTTTTTTTCAAAAAATTGGTTGCAAATAATTTTTTTCGAACGTTGAAGCAAAAAAAAAACAGGGAAAAAAGAGGTTTTTTTTCAAACGGCCACCATTTTGTTATAAGGGGGTTTTTTAAAAATCGGAAAACGATAAGGCCCCCCAAATTTAATCTATTTTAATAATTTTTTGGGTTTTTTTGTTTCCGATCAGCTGGCAAGGCTGTGGAATGCCCCGCGCACATAGAACCACGCCGTGTGGACTGAGAGCTGGAGCCGCCATTTTTAATTATTTTCTTCCAAAAAAATTCTAAATTAATCTTCATTTGTGTACAAATAAAAGCTGCGAAAATTTTTTTCTAAATGTACTTATTTTATATCAAAAAAAATTCTTGAAATTGAGGCATTTTTTGGGCCTCTGAACGGTAACCTTCCCTTAAGTTGAAACCGATTTAAAATCATACTAGCTTGGACCTTATTTCGCCCTGCTGCATTTGGGAGTGTGAGGTGAACCTCGCTTCGCGTGGAAAGTTTAAAGCCTGAACTGTACAATAATGGACCTCGTTTCGCTCTGTAAGTAGGGGTGAGTTGAGGTGGACCTCGCTTCAAGTGTTAAGTTGAAACCTATTTAGAATCGTGCTAGCTTGGACCTAGTTTCGCCCTGCTGCATATGGGGGTGTGCAGTGGACCTCGCTTCACATGGAAAGTTGAAAACCCGAACCGTACAATGACAGACCATCTTTTGTTTTGTAAGCAAGGGTGCGGTGGAGTGGACTTCGTTTTACGTGAAAAGTTGAAAACCCATGTGGAACATGTTTTCAATGCCTTTTGAATCAACAGGAAAATTCCTAAAGTATGATTGTTGACTTGAACAGAAAGATTACGTTAAAGTAAAGTGGGAAGAAGTGTTTATAATATATAATGGTGATTTATAATAATTCATAATGTCCTGTAGAATTGTTAAAATATCTTTCTACACTTTTCATCATTTTATCTTAAAAAATGGCTTTGTGATGGAAATCGCCAAAATTCCCTTTAAAGACTTTCATTTTAACCCGAAATAAAGCTTTTTACAAAGTTTTAGCCAAATCGGAGATAGACCGTTTTCGGAACACCACCCAGTAATTTTTCATCAAACGTTACTTTTTGTAAAAAAACAATGCAAAAATTCTTTTAATTATTTTTTGTTATTTTCTTGTATATGTATATTACTTAATAAAGGTTATATAAGAGAAAAAACATATTGACATATCTTATATGTAATATCTTATATGTAATAAATTCAGTAATTATATATAAAAAATTATTTCTTGAGTCAAACATTTTTTTAATAAAAAGTTTTTATAGAGTAGTCCGGGGCTATGTGTCCACACTTTACGCTTTTTTCAAGTTTACTAAAAAACTAATGAAGATATTTGGCTAAAATTTTAATGGTATAACTTTCAACCTTGCTGTAAAAAAAAAAACAAAAACATAATTAGAATCGTTGATCTTTTAACATTTTAAAGAGGCGAATTTTTAAGTGGACAAGTCAAGCGTAGACAGATAGCCTCATATGCGGGGCTATCTGTTCACATACGAGGGGCTATCTGTCCACATAATAAAAAACACATTATTTATATTAATTTTTATACTTATTTATAATATTATTTATTATTAATATATAATATTGAGAAAAACCTGCCTAGTCGTTGGAGTCAGAGAAGTATAATAGTAGGCACTTTGTGTAGATTTTTTGATAAGTTTCCTGCGTAGAGCTGACTTTTCTTTATATACGATGGCATCAAACTGATTTTGTGTCCGTTGCAAAATCAATGTGATGAGTTTCTTTTGTCCCCTCAATTCTTTAATCTTTTTTTTATTTGGGGCCTTTACTTTATCCTCAGCAGCGTTTGAAATAGAAAATACTTAATAATTTAAGACGATTCTTAAATCGCAGGATCAAGTAGTTGCTCGTAAGTTACTTTTTTACAGTAGCGAGTGAGAGCCCGAACATTTATTCCAAAGTCTAACGCTGTTTTTACGAAAAGATTCTCGCTCAATTTTTATTCTTTTAATCGCTCTAAATATGATTTTATTAAATATGTCTACCTTATCCGTCTTAAGGAAAGTCTTTCTTTTGTAGTTGCGCACCATTATCTATTTATAAAAGAACAATTCGTCATTGGACACATTGCCCCATAAAAAATAGGACAGATAGCCCCGACCACGTTTTTCAGTCTTTAACATGTTGCCAATTTTAGATAATGCGGAACTAAGATTTGGCGCTTCTCACACCTGATAATTATATATTAATTGATATTATGAATTACTTACTTTAATTTGAGTTAAACTACTGTCGCACAGCAAATTTTTCGACCGTCGAAAAATGTGAATAATTGTTTTCGCTTTTCTTTTCGTCTTTTCTTTTCTTTAACGTATATAGCGTCTGCGAGAGGCATCGCAAGAAAACAAACAACATTTAAATATCTTACGTAGGGCATTTTTCAACTACTTGTTACAATGATATAGACATCTGTCTCTTAAAACTTGAGATAGCAGTACTGCGGACACATAGCCCCCGTAGACAGATAACCCCGGTCTCCCCTATTTAGGTATAAGATTTTTCAAAATTTTATAAATCATTATTTTATTATATTATATAATCATGACTTATTTATGTCTCATTTATAACATCTTTTTTATAACTTTTATTATGTAAATATTTGTGCGTGTACGTGAGTGAGTGTGTGTGTGTGTGTGTGTGTGTGTGTGTGTGTGTGTGTGTGTGTG